TTTGCACTGATGGATGTCCAGTTGCTGGCCACATCAGAGGAGCCGAGAGGGGCAGAGGGGGTGGGGTGTGGGGGTAAAGCAGACAGCAACCGCTGCTCCCCTCCCTCTAATCTGTGCAGAGGTAATCAGAAACACATGGCTCCTCATAATGGCTCCAGTGTTGTCCTGCGAAGTAGAACAGGGCTGTGAGGGCCACATACACACCAGTATACGCTCCACAGCGACGGTAAATATACAGCAAACATCATTTCCATTCACATAACAGTAGACTGCAGGCACATACAGTATATTGTTCAAGCATACATACTGAGGTTATGCATTTTTATTTTATTTTTCAGGGTATTTTTCAAAGTCTCTGTTGTGGATAAGAAAGTGTGAATAATCCTGACCTATGAGTCACGAAGTCACAATAAAACAAATCAGATGCAATTTTGAAAACAGGAGAATGTTTCTTCTGGCTAAAGCTGAGTAACTCTGCACGGCATATGTTTCTGTGACTGGTTTTGGCAAAACATTTAAGGTGAAAGTTTGCGTCTCAAACAACAAAGATGTTGTACGCTACAGTTCATCGGTCACAGACAGGACTGATTGTCAGGACAGTCGGGGTTCAGTGCATAAAAACATTAGCCATCTGCTTATTTTCCTTTAGTTTGGGCAGACACATCGGGTCTTGTGATCATTTCCCGTCCCAATATCTGGACTAAAGCAGCAGCTTTCTCTTTCTCTTTACTGCTCCAGGTTAGACTGAGTGAGAAGCAGAAAGGAAAGAAGGAAAAAAAAAAGTTTGGGTCAGCCTGTGGAATTATGTGAAAGCTGAAACCTCAAGCCACATTATGAAGTCTGAAGTCCCACTTTACGGCACAGATAGCGGATGGATGGGTGTGTGAGGGAATAAAGGATGGGGGGGGTGAATGAAGGAGAAGGGAAAATAGGCTACAGGGAAGGAAAGAGGGGTTTTAAAAAGTGTCATAAGGAGAAGAGAGAAAGAAGGAGCATCTGACTGATCTGTTTTCTATTAGCCGCCCAAATCTTCTCCCCTGATGCACTCGTTCCACAGAATTGTGCTGACAAAGGGGAAAAAATCCAGGGCAATTTAAAATGTCCCAGACAACTGTTTGCACACCCCTCCATGTGAAGGAAAAATAAAGGGGGAAGAGAAGTCTCCATCTGGATAGGGGGGAACAGCTTAATTACATTCCTGGCTATTCATATTCATTTGTATATGCACATTTATACAACTCGTCAAGATGACAAATGTCTGTATTTGTCTTCCAGAAGCTCCATGTCCTAACTCTGAGCCAGACGGACGTATCATTATTCTAACTATAAGTAGTTTGTGATGTGACAGACGAAGCAGATTGGGTTGAACTAATAGTAGTTTCCAGCTTCATACATTGGGTTTAATCACAATACTGATAAGCGGTTCCATCCCAAACTGGGACTCAGTTTCCGCTCTTTTGACCTATTTTCAGGTCTTCACCAGCCCATCTGACTAAGCATCTCATTGGGAGGTCGGCTTGTTGTGCGGTTGCTCTTAAAGTGTATTAAGAGCTGCCTTTCTTTTTTGTTTTCTTTTTTTTTTTGTAGCTTCGTGCCACTGTAAGCGAGTTTCAGGTCTATTATAATGACGGTCTTAAATCGCAGAGTGAGTAGATGTCACTGGGAATCTATAAACACACATTTGATGCTGGCACTGTTCCTTCTCCCTCCTTCTGGTTGTGAGCTGACCTCAGTTCTCAGCGGTTTTGGCTCAAGAAAAGCACCAGCTCCATTTCCAGTAAATGTCATTTCATAGTTACTGCATTTCCACAGGGCTGAGAAACAACATTTAACGTGCAAGGAGGACTGCAATTAGACAGTGTCTCTCGCAGACAGCAAGTCGACAGGGATAAGAGACAAAAACAGCGTTTGCAAATCTCCTCTGGTCGCGTCTGACGCAATGATTCAGCCGAGGAAATGACTGCACTTGAGGAAGTTGTGCTGCAACAGACGCACATTTATGTCAGACACTGAAACTGGAATATAGCACAAATAAGTGTTTCTCAATTGTAAATGTTCCATTCCATGTTTGATTTTGTTCCAAATCAATGTTTTCAAGGAATCATTTCACTAATGAACTGTACAACAAAGAGTTTTTTTCAGACAAAAAATGGATTTGCACAGATGTCTTTCTATCGTCTTATAAGAACATGCCTCTTTCTTAACATACTTATGAGTACATGCTGGATTGTGTTTGCTAAAGTACTACAGACTTTTACAAGATTTCCACTGAAATGGAGTAAAGCTTAAACCATTTTCCAATATCTAAATGGGCGCTGAAAAACTTCTCTTGACTGAGTCCACGTAGGATTAATATTTTCAACCCCTTTTTAAAGTGTAACTTGACTCCACTTTCTTTCTGCTTTGCATTGCAGAAAATATTTGTCTTTTTCCCCCTCACTCATAAATTTCTTTCTTCCTCTCCTTGCAGGGACTGAAATGGCTACCAGATGTGGTTCCAATCTGTTCCCGTTGCCATGGTAACACAGAGACTGGAATAGGTTTTCTGAGTCCAGGGCTTTTGGCTGACTCATGGGGCCGGAGTTTTAAAGCTTTGCTGCTTCTATAGACTTGGCACGCCGAGGGCGACCGGGCTCCAAGTCATGTTTAGACTGGCAGCCGACATGTCACTGAACCCCCTTCCCACACTCCTAACCCTGACTTTTTGACCACGCTTTGCGTTATCCTAGATAGTCACTCCTTTGTGTTCTCCTGCGCTGCGGCGCCAAAACGAATTCATGTTTCACACGTCAACCTTCAACACCAAGTCAATAAAACGAGCAAACTATTACTCTGAACTAACTGCTGAGGGGATATGAAAAGGCCAAGTTCCATAATCATACACAGGCCGCTCTCATTCAAAACCATTCAAAGCAGAAGGAATACAAATCCATCACAAGTCCGACACATGCCCCGTCAACACAGTTTATCCTGAAATGCTGCACCGCAGTAACATGCAATGCACATTTCCAAGCTGCAACTCTCCCACAACATGTCAGACATAAAAAGCCAGAGAACATGTGTTGGTGTGCTCAGCTGAGAATCTTCTCCATCTGTGAGTTGAGGACAGGCAGATGGCGGCAGTTGTGTCAACATTCCTCTCTATCCTGGCAATGAATCAGACTTAAAGCCATTGTCACATGAAAAATGGGATGATTTTGAGGAGGATTCCAGTATGTGGTTTGGCTGACAGACTGTCAAGGATGTTTTAAGAAAGATTGAATTGGAGACTTTGAGGCTGGTAGCTGAGATAAACTTAAGACCAAGTCCACAAACTGAGCCAACAAACGAAAGAGGATCTTCACCAAATTAAGTTATGACTGTGAGGAACAAACACACTTGCTTTTAACACTGTTGTAAAATAAAGTTTCCCATGTTTGCTATCTTGGTTAAGCATGTCAGCATACCATCCTTAGTTTGCACTCAGTGAATTGAACAAATCAAAGTTTTGACCCGATGAGTAAACAGGGTGATGGTGACAGTAATAAGCAACAACAAGCTATAAGGACCATACATGAAAAACATAGCCATCCATTCTGAACTGTTGTGAAGATAGTTTACTTAAAACTACAAATATTCCCAAAAGCCTAGCCAGCGACAACGGTTGCAAATAGCCACGGCTAGAAACCGGTATGCGTGACATCTACTTTGTACTGAACATTTGAGGCAATGTTCATTACACGTGTACCTGTTAAATAAAAGAAGAAAATAAAAAGCTGAGGAATCACAGCAGCCTCAAAGGTACATCATCTGGAGACCATGAATATCAGTAGACAATTTTACAAAGATTCATTCAATAGTCGCTCATACTTTAAAATGATGTCCATCTTCTGGAAAAGCTAAACGGAAAGGTCGGAAAGAAAAGATGATCACAAAAATCTTCATGGTTCTTCCTCATGGGACAAGGACCAATCAATGGTAATTCAGACATTACATTTTGTTACTTTGTTTACTCCAGGAGCCACAAACGATCCCAGAGCTCATCTTCTGAGGACCAAGAATGCCTGACATCGAAGATTTGTTGAGATATTTAAGTCAAAATGCAAATGATGGAATTTCTAACATTGTCATTCCTTGAGCAATGCTACTAATGCTAAAAAGGCGATAAACAGTATGTGTCTTTAAATTGTGAAAAATGTTGATTAAACTGTTTGATATGGTAAACAAACAAAATTTACTATCTCTTTAGAGATTTTATAGAAAGTCAGAACAACATTTATTTGTTTGCAACATCAGGACAATGATGTTGTCCAAAAGTGAATTGTAAATCAGACTAGGCTTATATAATCCCTAAGTATCCTACTCAATCCTTCAATGTATAATATAAATGTACACAGTAAGCAAAACACCATGGGGTGTAGAACCCAAAAACAAAGCCACTTTGCTTTTCTGGTTTCAATTACCCATCACAAGACCTATCCATATATCCATCCATTCATTCTCCTTCACTGCCTTGTGGCCCAATCCTGCTATATCCCTCTGCTCCCCGCCAAAAGAGGACACATATGCAGCGCGTGATTGACTCCTTAGCACAGAGTTTCCACTGTTTTTCCTCCATGAAAGGAGCTCTTGTCCCACCATCCTGAAGGAGCCAAATGCACAGTTCCCTGGTTCCCCTCGGGCTCTTTGAAGGGCCGCTGTGACCGAATAACTCTGCAGGACTCCTGCTTCCTCCCTGTGAACCTGCAGCTCAGTAGCCCCAAAGTCACAGCAAAAGGGTCAAATATCAATGAACATTTGGATGAGTCTGTATGAAGAACACAGTAAGATAATGATGTGGTGTATTACCCAATACAGGCCTTTTCACCTCCTTGTTGTTCTAGTCATTGAACACTGGATAAAGACACTGGGAGCAGATGCCATTGAGAGGTCATGACCCCATCAGAACTAATGTGGTATAAATAAATTAGCAAATGTTGACTGTCCTTTTGTGGCAATTAAACGAAGACTGACTTTATAAGTTCTGTTTGACTAGAGCTAAATGTATTGCTTTTTTATTCCAAAGAAGTAAATGAGGACACAACAATTCAATGACCATACACACATGGAAATCAAAGATATACCTTACAATTGTTAATGTTTTTGCAGCTTTTCAGGCCCTTCTTTAAAAAATGTACTGTGAGCCTATAAAAACAGGCACGGGCCAGTCAGATAAAAAAAAAAAATGCCACTTCATATAACACAATGTTATGTTTCTTTTAAGTATATGCTATTGTTTCAACAGTTGTATCATGGTAATATTGTACAATCCTTTCTGTATGAGTTATTTTTTTTACGAGAGGCAATAGTAACGGGAGGGAACAAGAAGGTTACAGATTTCCTGTGCAGCTATCAGTGCCATATAATTACACTCTGCGTCATGCAGTTAAGTGTTATACAAACAATAACATCAACAGAGAACAATTACAAGCCAATGTAAACTTAACAGGAGGAAAAGAACTCATACTGTAGGCTTGCTTCAGAGCCAAAAATAAGCAACATCGCAAAAAAAAAGCAAACAAGAAATGAAAGCCAGTTCATTGACACCAAGGAAAACAAAAGAACTAAAAAGGTCATATAAGCACAGCTTACAAAGATAATAAAAAGTACACGATGTATACAAGTCGAAAATGTTGGAAAAGAAACTGAGGGAAAGTGTTGTACCTTGTTAAAAAAACATATAAAACCAAGGACCATTTTCAAACTACTTGGCATGTTTATGGCTGAAGAATACGAAACATTCACAATAGCATTTTTATTTGCTGCATACATACCAATCATCCATTCGCTATAGCTCATGTTTTGAGTGCTACTTTTCAAAGACAACCTGAATTAATCCAGTTCAAAGAACCCAACCCACCTTCTTTTTTTGGTTTGCTTATTTTAGGATCAACACTTGACATAAAAGCTGACAACATCATTTAGTAAAATATAGCTTCTTCTGCTTAAACTGATCCACAGTTGACACATTTGAGGCACGGTACCATTAAACCTTATCCTAAAATATGAAACTAAAGCACCCAGGACTTCAGCATAAATGTACTAGCTTAAGATAATTTGATCCTTAAGGTTAAAAAAAAAAAAATGACACAAGATTTGTTTGCACACCCTACCCCTATGGCATAAACAAATTCATGTGAAATGAGAAAAGCCCAATGACAATACTGACCTAGTTTCTTGACTCTGAAAAAAAGATACAAGGCAGCCTCATTCTGAGAGAATGCAGTTTAAAACTACTACTTAAAGAAAGTCTTGCTTCTGATACACAGAGGAGATTGTCCTGTTGTATGTTTTCCGACATACAGTAGAAGAAAACTGGAGATGTTGCTTTAATAGAGGAAAGGTCCCTGTGTTTAGAGTGATTCAAAAGCAATACAAAAAGTGAAGTCATAGTATAGAGAGGGTTCACTTTTTTGGTCAAGCTGACTTAATCAAACAGAAAGAAAGAGCATATTCTGATGATTCTCAAGCACTGATGACTATTGAAGTCCGTAAAGTGGCATAACTTGTGTTCTTTGTACATGTGTACTTTGGGATGGCAAATCAAGTTGATTAAAGAAACGCATTTCTAACAGTGTCATATATCACTAACTTGCTTCCGTAAAAAAGTAGATTGCTCTCATGTAACTATAATGAATGAGACTATCATCTGCTAAAAGTCTTCAAATGCAGAATGATAAAATGTCTTTCTAGGATGGCTTAAACTATGGAACTGTATTTGTGCATGTTAGTTCTTATAGATGAGAACGAAAAAAGACCCAGAAGTAGCTCTCATAGGGCTGAATTTTGGCATCATTTAGTACCTTTAGTACCTGTGAAAAGCATACATAAAAGAAAGCTATTTTTCCATCATCATAGAAAATTACAGTTATTCAACCTCAAAAGCAATCCATGTATAAATATAGTGGTGGATGAATAGAGATGAGTAAACTATGGAATATATCTGTGCACGGCTGTTCTCACAGCTGTGCCCTGCTTAGCCGCAGGTTGTGGTTTGAGATTGGTACGCAGTATTTATAAAAACAGGCTTCTTGAAAAGAAATACAATGGTGCATAGAAGGCATTATAATACAACTCACCAATATGACTCAACTGCGCCTTCCATTTAAAAACATTTCTCATTGTTGACTGGTCCTGGAGTCACTGAACACTTACACAGAAAATGTTTAAAATCCTTTACAAAAAAAATATTTGGTTCTTCTTCCAACAAATCCTTTTAAGTCTCATTCAGATCCATCAAAAACATTTGGCCATATGCTTTCGAAACACTTATTTCACTACTTGTGGTGGCATAATGGCTGTCTTTTGCTGGGGTGTTTTACTTTCTGATGTTTCCAAAGTACCATCCTTGCCTTTCTTCCTGGGAGGCTTTTTCATGGGAGTCTTCTTTGGTGTAGGGTCCAACGTCGAGTCCCCTGCCTTTGAGCCGTTCAAGTCCTGCTTCTCCGGGCTCGTGGTGTCAGGGGTCCCTGGGTCGGTGGTGACAGGTGCCACCATCTTCTGAAGGCTGTTTGAGGTGGGCAGCAGAGGCTTAGTGGAGCCCTGCTGACCTGGTCCACCAGATGGGGTCCTCTTGGCTTTCTGTGGTGGTGTCGGCTTCTCCCGGTTTCCCTTGGGTGTGGAGAGACCATTGGTCTTTGTCAGACCTGTTCCCTCATTTCTGTTAATGCTTTGAGTTTTCTCTTTGAGCTGAGCAGCCAAGAGTGTGGCAGCCTCTGAGTTCATGTGAGGGTGGATGACTTTGGGGCTCTTTGGTGGCTCCTTTGGCGTCTCCTTCGGAATATCAGCATTCTTCTTCTCAGATGAGGAGCTGTGGAAGTTGCTGATCTTCTTTAGGGCATTTTGAACTACACCGTTGATGTGTTCCATGTGAGTGGGACTGCTGTGTTCGTCCCCAGACTTCTTAACCCGCAGAACTTTGTGTTTGCTTGGGGAGCCGTTGACTTCTGCCTCTTTAACCTCCTGTTTCTTTTGTTGTTCACGGCTCTTCTCCTTCATCTTATGCCGCTCCTCACTCTTGGATGAGCCATCGCTGGAGCTCCTCTTTTTCTCCTTTGGCACTGACAGTGCCTTATTTCCCCCATGCCCCTGCTGTTCTGGTTGGGGAGACCCTGTAGTATTCCCATGTATCCATGATACCTTGGGCTTAGTGGATGGGTCTGGTGGCCGTGGTTTTGGTTTGCCAGGTGAGGGTGGTGGCTTTCCATTGCGCTTAGCCTCTGGTGTAGGAGTGCCATCCCTGTCCTTGCCAATTCCATCATCCTCCTTGGACTGCTTAGAGAGGCGGGCGATGCGGGCGTAGAGGGCTCCAGTATTGGATTCAGAGCCACTGGTAGAGCCTTCACTGTCAGAGGACTTGAGCAGGGGCTGCTCGTTGCCTTCTGGTTTTGTAACACTTGTGTCTTTCAGGGAGGTGTACTCCCCTGCATCCTCCTCAGTAAGGTCAGCTTCTGGCTTTTCTGCTGCTGGGCTGGGGCTCTGCTTCTCTTTGCTTTCATTTACCGAGTCTGTAGGTCATTGAAAAATCAAAAACAATATATTAGGAATATTTAGGGACTATTTAATGCTAGAAGTTAGAGTCAATTCTTGTTTGGCAGAATAATTGAACAGAAAAAATACTTTTACGATAATTTCAGATTATCAATCAATCAAAGAATAATTATGAAATTTACAATTCAATTTCTTGCTCTTACAGACGTGAAATTGAATTCCAATGCAATGAAAGGAAACAGGGGTCAAATGAACACATCTGGTGGTTGTGCGTATGCAGCCTCACCTGGTCTGGTATGATCAGCAGGTTGGAGTGGCTTAGGCTTACTAATATAAGCAAATGTTCACTAATGCACTACAATACACTCTACTGGAGTCAATGACAGAAGGGAGACAGTCTGCTTAATCGGTGATTTTGTACTTATGATGCTATTGTACTTCTTTAACCATGATCCTGTAGTTTACCTGGCCACTGTAGATCCTATCCAGAACTGCTGTGCATCAATATAGAATGTTTTAAAGGTTTTTTTTTTCTCACATGCGTTGACACATACAAAGAATAACAATGGGGTATAAGTTCAACTATTTTAGTTATTTTAATAATTTGAATTATAAATAACAATTTATCACTTCCATCGTTTGTTTTAAATCTTCAACTCCAGTCAATGTATTACAGTGGTCACATTTACAAATGACAACATTTCATGGTTTTCATCTGTAAGACATTCCTTCTCACCAAAGAAAGCAGAACAGGGCCACTGAAAATGCTAACATGCTTGACATTGGAGTGGCTCTAATGCAACAGATCATATCTATCATATCAAACCCTTTCATGTTGTTAACTCTAATTATTTAGTTCAAGAGGCTTAAACCAATTGATGTAAAGCTCTTGAACCATGTGGAGAATGAAAACCAAGAGAGAACTACAATATTAATTAATCACACAACACAACCAAAAATCCCCCAACACAAAACCTAACGTCAGACTTCCAGAATAGAAACTGATGGAATCAGTGTTTTCCATAAAACTTCAAGGAGTTAGTCACTGTTTGGATGTGTGCCATATGCTGACTTGACTGTTCAACTTCCTGTTTATACTTCCCTTGTCATCGAAGCAAAACCTGGATCTAGATTGCACATGATAAAGAAGCTATCTCCATAATGAGATTTACAGAAGTGGGTGAGTCAGTGCACGGCCATAATGGGGATCTTAAGGTCTTCAGGAAAGTGACTCTATCAGCATGTGTGTGTACCGTATGTAAAACAGCTCTGCTGTGCCACAGACCATTTATGGATTTATTTGCATCATTCCAGATAACTAAACTATTCATTTATTCTTACGATGACTCACCTTCATGGGGCACGCAGTAAACTGGCCCCTCGTCTCCGCTCTCAAAGGAAGAGAAAGACTCCTGGGATGACCAGGAGGAGGGGGAGGGCTGCTCCGCTACTGACGGGGGCTCTATGAAGCTGCAGTTGAAGGTGTTCTCTGGGTCATGGTGGGCTACTGAGAACAGAAAACAAACGCAGAAGCCAAAAGGTCAGCCAGAGGGTATTGTACCATGTTACAAAAACAACAGTCTGTTCTCACTCACTCTCAAGACGGCTGCTAAGTATTAGAAAGTGTTGGTTTAAATGAGTCTGCAGAAAACTAGATTTTATTTGTTTTGAGTGAATTTAACAAAAGGTCCAACTCTAGGAAAAGTACATAGAGCTCTCGAGGGGTGGATTGTTATCTAATAGTGATGAAGGAGTATGTGAACTACTATTGTCTTATATCTCTATTATCTCAGATATTTATCTATCTGAGAGATGATACAGCACACTGTCATCAAATTTAAGTGATTTAAAATATATACAATATTCCTCAAAGTGGATGGTTCAATTTTTTGTAAAATGTGTGTCTTTCAAAGGGAGAAGGTAATGCAGACATGCTAACTTAGCTTAGCATTAAACTGCAAACTGTAATGTTGATGCAACAGTGGAAAATCATTTACATAAAAAATAAATATTCTTCAAAATCAGTCACTGAAGTGTTTTGTGGTCATTTGAACTATATATGTAGATTTGATAGTGTTCCTCCCTCACTGTCTGCTCCCCCCCCCCATCTCTATTTCCCTTCCCTCTCTCTCAGACATATACTCCATCCCCCGTTTTTTTCAGACACTGCAGCATTCAGCTGACCTTTCAGTGTCAGGACAGCTGTGGTTTCTGGGGGATACTTGGATACTTGCGGCTGACCCTCAGGAGTACACAGTGCAGTTTTGGCCTAAACTCTGCTGGGCGTTAACTTGACATGACCGACCACATCAGATGCTCCTGTTTACATGTCCGATGATACACGGACCCAGGCATTTGTTTAGACAGCAGATAAACCGTCCAAGTACCGTAGTTGTTGTCGTTTGACTGTTAAACTGAAAAGATGAACAAATACAAGTGTAAGCAATACAGACAAAAAGCTGCATTTACTCTGTATTTTATCTGTATTATCGGGGTATAAGAGGCCTTTGTCACTCAGATGTCGTGCAATTTTGTTCACATTCTTACTGAATTTAATTTTTATCAGTGACAGATATGCTTATTTAAAAACTTCAAAACAGAAAAATACTGATCTTTATGCCATTCAAATAGTGAGCAGATGATGTATTCCCGTCCTCTCCCTTTTTGTCAACAACAAACACGTCTGGTTTATGTTTCATCATAAACTGATCTAATGTTATCATGTTGCGTTGTGTTGTTCATTTATCTGCATTACATCATGCAACTCTCTGTTGTTGCCTTACTTCTGCTTTCAACATTTTCTTAAACAACAGCCAGATCTAGTCACTGTCGAAACAGAATTGGGTCAATGTGTGTTAGTGTATGTAAGTGTGTGTGTGTGTGTGTGTGTGTGTGTGTGTGTGTGTGTGTGTGTGTGTGTGTGTGTGTGTGTGTGTTTGTGTTTGTGGTAAAGATTACTTTTGTGTACTGACACGCTGACATGTTTGTACGAAGCAATTTTCAAGGACCCTTGCTTTGTTTTTGTTTTTGTTTTCACTTCTGTCAAGCAGCTGAGTTGTATGGAGTTGTTCAAGTTAATGCTTTCAACTGAAGGTACCACAGGAGATCTATTTTGAATTTGACCCGATATGCTAAGAATGAGCCATAAGATGTCTATCTTTATTCCTACACTGATGAAAAATCACTCTTTTAAAAACGTTGGTCTTTGTGTTACTTTAGGGCTGGACAACCTCTACACAGCTGCATTATATCAACAATGAGTAAGTACAGATGTGTTTGTGTTAAAGGGGAATTTAGGGCAAAAATAGAAAATGTTTTAATAAGTATGGAGGAGGGACCTCCGTTCAAGGGCATTTATGTGACTATTTTAGGATATCCTGCTTACTACAACACAAGGCAAACTTGCTCTCTTTCAACATGTGCAGTAGCTACTATTGGACTGTTTGGCCATTGAAATGTAGGTAAAGACTAACTTGATTCTTCATTCCTAATTGTGCTTCATATCAAACAGCAATCGTCTTTGTGAATGTGGTAAAATAATTGCAATACATCATTTATACAGAGCCACGAGAAACTCAGGTTTGAATGATTATTAATGTATTTCCCAAACTCAACTTTAAGAATAAATACATAAACTCTGACCTTTTGCAAGGCCCTTACTGAGCAGCAATAGGCAGATACATAGGCAGCACCTCTGGGTTACTGAGGAATGTAGAGCAGCCAGCCTATGCAAAGCCTTCAAATAAGCGAGTCGACAAGCTAACAAGCTAACACATGGGCATTTTGGGACACTACTTGTATGCAGCGATGAACAACTGCTGCCCTTGAAAGCTGCTCCCTCCAGACTGAGGGTCTAGTGGGGCAGATTGTTGTGCAGACTGGATGCCGCTGTGGTCCCTCCCAACATGAAAACCAACGCACAACAGGGTATTATTGACACATCCCAGCTGCACAGCTACGCCACCACAGTTGCTCAGTGGGGGAATGCATTTAGAGACCTGAAGCAGACCTGAGCTTGGCTGGGACAAGAAGGTTGCTAGTTCAAATGTCTGGTCCAGCTGTGGAAATCTGGGCATAGAATGAGGTTATTGCCTGCCAATAATAAGAAGAAACAATATGTTTCAGCCTGAAATAGCACGTGTTAGGGTTACAGGATTACATGCAAAGTCTAACACAAATACACCACATCAAGGGATATACAACATGGCTAACTGAGCCTTTAACCAATCAGCAAGCCTATTTATTTTTGAATTTGATAAGGATGACTAGCAGACGCAAACTTACATTTAGCAGCTCCCTTTGTCTCAAGTGATGCACTCAAAATGACTTTAAGGTGCAATTATTCTTCATGCATTATGAATTTGACGCTAAGAGCAGCTGCAAACATATTTACTAGGGCTGTCAAAGGATTCATTTTTTAAATCCTGATTAAAACCAAAATTTCAATAGTTAATCCTCATTAATCACGTTGAAATATCACACTTGAAATTACATTATTTCCCATTTAAAAATTAAAATTGTTAGGCTTTCATTTTGAACGTTCGTACTGTCTTAAACTGAGAGTGCCGTACGTGCTGTTTGAATTCAATCCTGCTTTAAATTTAAAATAAAATAAGGACAGTCTGGTAGATTGAAGGTAACGGCAAGGAACTGTTTACTCTTGGCCCTCACTAATGAACACGGAGGATGCAAAGAATGCAAGGCAGACATGTGTTTTTAAGGCGTGGAGTAAATATGCTTTGAATGGAATGTAAACTACAAGCAAACAGCCTCAGTTTTTTACCAAGAGGGTAAAAGGTGACAGCTTGTTCATGTGGCTAATTCTCTGAGGCTAACTATGCTAACAGACGAGTAAATGTTTTCTTCCTCCCCCACTTCCCCCCCCTGTTCCTGTTTCAGTTTCTTGCCACATCTGTTGCTACTGACCCTGGTGTGGATAAATCACGGTTCTGACACGGGCTGGGGTAAATTTGACCACTTCCTGTTTCCAGCCCCATTGGGCCCCCTCTGGAATGTGTGTGTGCAGGACTGTGTAGCCCTAGTCAGAGTTTGAGTTTCTAAATGTTGGCAGACCACGCTTCTGTGGGCAGCCCAACACAAAGCAGAGAGGCAACAAATTAGACAAACCAGCAGGGGGAAGAGACATTCAAGGTTTGAGTAGATATTGAAGTTTGTTCTTGAAATAAATTGATCCTTGGTAATCTTATTTGATGTCTGACAATAAAGACATTTTGACCAGTAAGCTTCAAAAAACATTTTGTGTTTCATTAAGTACTTCAATTATGTTAAGAAAAAAGCCTTTTGATTGAGATGACGTTGCTTTTCATGCCTCTAGCCCATTTCTGCTTCACGTGGTCAAGCTCATCTGAAACAAGCTTATTAATGTCCCATTCTGTAGAGACAAAGGCAACACTGTCCTAGTTTTGGTTTAAGACCGAGTCATAATGGAGACAAACTCAAGCTTTAAAAAAACAGCTGTATAAGTAAAACAGCACATGCTGCTCAGACATGAAAAAGAAATCAGGTCATCATGTTTTAACTCCTTCCACAGCAGAGTGACTTCAGTGAAATTTGATTATTTCATATTACAGCTCTTACACTGCTATGCAACATTTTAGATACATGCTTTTTTAAAATCAATCAATTATTCAATCTTTAAATGTCAGGGAGGCGACAAAGTTTTCAACCACAAGATCTCAGAACTCACAGCCAAAGTTTCAGTTCACAATGACATTAAAGAGACAAGATCAACACACTTAACAAGCTGGAACCAGAAAGTGTTCAAATGTTGTTTTGATAAATGACTTTATTATTATTTAAATGATAAATACATTTTCTTGATTAATTAACTGACTAACGGCACTGCAGCAACTGTCTTTCTTTTAGTCCGTCATTGTTCTTCAATAGGCATTAGTTTCCAACTCTATTACATAAATATAAGCACTTTGCACCATTAGTTTGTGCTTTTGGAGTATAGAGAAATATTGCTTTCTTGTACAGTATGCAGCACATGACAATACATTCTCATTGTTATCATGATTTGTCATAAAGAAGTGTAGAATCTTCTTATTCATTTCAGATAATAAACCTTTTCTTTTTTTTTTTTGCTGTTGCAACTGAATGCCAAACAAAAACAGCCACTTGGAAAGTCTGGTTGGAGTAAATGATCAGCCTATCTCCCCTGTCTGCTTTAAAAAAAGACTGGGGTCACAGACAGATCTGTCACAGACCACGAGACCTCCGCATGGAGCAGCAGCATCCACCCAAACAGTGCGGCCTTTGATAGCCCATCACTCAGCACCACCCGGGCCCCCGACAACCACCAGGCTTCTTTAAATAACAAGGCCTTCTCCACAGCTCAAGAAAGATTTTCTTGGGGAAAAAGACGATGGAAACAAGTCAGTAAGAAAATTGGGGGGGGGGGGGGGGTGTAAGCCCCAGTTTAGGGTTGTAATAATATGAACACATGGCATTTGAGGGTGCCAAGAATAATAAGGGGCTCTAAAACAGTGCATACCTTTCAAATGAAACCCCATACTCGCCTGGCAGCCACCATACACTTTTCAACCCTATTTATCATCTGAGAGGCTGAGGTAGCACTGAAGGAGAATGCTCAGCCTGACTGTCACTCATTTCTGTCATTGCCTCTTCTGAAGACATATTCAAGCATTGACAGTCAGTAGAACCACAGATCTGACACCTACATTGTAACATGTATTATGTTCTTTCTACTCTAACACTTCTGCCATTTCAGGGGAATTTTTTTTATTTGATTAGACTTTACAGCATTTTGCTTCATCTTTACACATGCACAGGGAGAACATGGATATTCCACACAGAGGGGCTCTGTCCGACCGGGATTCGAACCAGGAACCTTCTCGCTGTGAGGCAAACAACACTGACTACTACTGCACCATCGTACAGTCCATTTAGCTCGGCTTTCCAAACATCAAAATCACAAAATCAGTTGTTTATTGTTGAATCACTTTCCAGGAATCGACAATAACCAACTGAAAGGTCGAATTATTTCATTAATTGCACACACAACAGACACAATATGTCAGAAACAAGGCAAGAATGTATCAAGATGAAACCTTCAAGAGAAACTCATCTGCCCATAGGGACTTGTAGTAAATGTGATATCAGTGACAGGCACTGATATCAAAGCAACATTAATGAAAAAGTAACAGAGAACATTGATAAAGACAATGCAGTAGACTCAGGGCTGCAAGACGTTCAAGTGTGGGCATTCAACTGATTTAATATGTTTTAGTATCCCAAATATTATGTGATGTCCAGTAAACTTTGCACAAACACAGGCAGAAGAAAATACGTAATTTAGAGGACTACTTTTTACTTTGAATCAGAGCCTGTACTCTTCTAATTTGGTGAAAAAGTTTCATCAGTACTTGTATGTTTTTCAGATTCTTTTGTCAGACAATGTTGTCTACTTTACAAGAAATAATATAGCCGCTTTTGTCATCATGTCATCATGCATTGGCTACTAATAAAGAGCTAAGCTTGATCCTACTTTTCTTAAACTGCGTCGTACAATTACCAAAGAGGACGAGGATTGCATAAAACCAAGCAGCTTCTGGCAGCAGTGTGGTGGGATATGAAAAAGTGTTTTGGGGCTTACCGACTACTTTGGGCAGTTTCTGTCGCCTCAGTGGAATACGGGGAAGTTTAGTGCTGATTCGGCTGAATCGTCCACACAGGATCCGTTTGGCTTTTTTGCTGTTGGTAGAGAGAGTTGTCATGGTTAGGACTGAAAAGGGATGACACCATGGAAATTCAAATGAATCATTCAAAAGAGGCGTATTAAACATGGCCCCCTGCCCATTTTGAGGGCTCGGCGGCTGCTCATATTGCTACTCATAGTGTAATGTCAAAACATGAGAAACCTTCAAATACAATTTATATGCATTTATTCATTTAACAACCTAGAACCTGTGAGAAAGAGTGAAAGAAAACAATTTCCTCTGTTTTTATAACCGGGTTGCGCCTTTTAAAAAACACCTTCTAAAAACCCAAACCCCTATCATGCAGCGTTGAGTTGAAGTCACCAATATGTCACTCACTTGTGGTCGTCTTTGTGTCGGCATAGGCAGCAGCAGCACAGCAGCGAGAGCAGGACAATCAGCAAAAAAGCGACCAGGGTTCCAGCCGCAATCACACCCATCCGCTGGTTGGGCTCTGAAAGACGAGGTGCAAGGAATTCTGGGTGTGCCACACAACTTTGAATGCCAGTTTCAACAAAATCCCTCTCTCTGTCATCGCTAACTCTTGAGACCTTGCCATATTGCAAACTATTATGATTTACTTTTGAAGCCAATTCAAATGACTCTAAAAGGAGGTTAACATAACTGTGCATCAATTTTATTAACGTGAAAGTTGCTGCAGGCTCGATAAAAAAAGATAGAGCAAAGTGTACCATTAACAATGTATCTTTAATTGCTGCTTGACGTTAAGCATCTCTGAGGAAATGGGTTTGCAACAGGCTGAAATCCACTCCAAATTATCCATTATTAGTCTTATCTCCCTTATGACTGAGGGCCACTTACCCTTTCACTGCTGATTTCCTGCAAGCAACTTTCCCTCCTCATCCCCTCTTTACTTTTACGCCCCCCGCCCCCCCAACCATAACTCAGTAATGATTTATTAGCACCCCTCCCTCTAGTGGGATACACCCCAGAGATACTAAGTGCTGCATTGCATAAGAATGGACTGCAATTGGCGCTTGCGAGGACAGACGACACCAGAGGAGAAGCAAAGCATCAGTTAAGCAGAGGTGGTCTTGACTCTGTCACATGAGGCTGAGCTGGATCGTTAGACCGTCTCGGTGTGACATGGTGTCATTGCTAACAGCGGGATAAAGAATAGAAATGGTTTCGAGGGGGATAAGGTGTGAAATGTCAAGGTCTTATAACATCACTGACCAGCCTTCCATTGGCCGATCATGTCACCTGGTCCCAAGCCTTTGTGTCCTATACTACAATGTTGTAGCTGTCTGCCTTGATGTTGATGTTCATGATGTTCTAAATGATGTTAGAACTGTTAAATCTATCTTCTTCCTACCTCTCTCTTCCTTCCTACTTTTTCTTTTCCCCTGTATTTTCACCATCCCCCTCTTTGTTTCTTCCTTCCTCTGCCTCTCTCTCTCTATTCCCCTCTCTCTCTATCTGAACAGGAACAGAGCCAACAAACACAGCCATAAAAAGGACACCGGTTTTGGTCTGGAATTGCTATCAAGGCCTTGCTATGCTAACTCTCCCACTACAAACACTGACCTGAATAGATGTGTTTGTTGCTACTCAGTGTGTAAAGCCAACTATTAGACATTTAATACAGGCATCTGGTTCTTTGGAAAAATATTTCTCTGGTACAAGTAGTACAGGCAAGAAATGACTGATTTTGTCTCTGAAAAGGTGCCATTTAAAAAAAAAAAAAGGCTACTTGTGCACACGTACTGACACGCACACAGGCAAGACATTTAAAACAGCATAAACACAAAGCTTGTGGTTGCCGCTTAAAAAAAGGACAATTTCTACATTGACAACAAGAACCATCAAGGAACTTTTCTTACATAAGTAACAAGCACCAAAACTAAGATTTTCTTACATAAGTAACAAGCACCAAAACTAAGATTTTCTTACGTAGACAACAAGAACCAAAGAGGAGATTTTCATACATAAATAACTAGCACCAAAAAGGAGATGTTATGATGGGTACAAAATCCCCTTATAGGAGATTTTCTTACGAATATAACAAACACCAAAACGGAGATTGTCTTACGTAAATAACAAGCACCAGACACGGGATCACAGTTCTTGTCATTGCAGGAGCAGGTTTGGTTGCAGTTCACTCCATACTGGCCAGGTTGACAGGTCATATTACAGCTTTAACAAAAGAGACACAGACATGTGTTTAAAATGAATCCAAAGCATTGGATGCTTAAAAAAAAGGGACCTAGAAATAGACCAGTTCTTTGTTAAAGACACATTTTACTCTGCTATACGTTTGTAGTCATTTTACTTTTCTGGTATATAACCTTTCTTTTATCTGTAACTGTAAAAAAATGCCTCGAACACTACCTTCTCTCTTTAAATCCCAAGTGTGTGAAAGTGTTCATATAAAGCCTTTGTATTGTAAAACTGCCTAGGGCATAAACATGACTTTTTGGGGGTATGAGGTGTCTTGTGACTTACTAGGTGCCATAAAACCCCGGGTCACACAGGCACTCTCCAGTGACAACATGACAGATGCCATTAAAGCAGTGACAGCAGTTGTTCTCGCAGTTCTCGCCATATGTGCCATTGGGGCAGCGCACCTCACACCTATCACACACAAAAGGAATGCAGTGATTACCATCATTTTCAAGCTGAGCAGAATGAGTCATAGACATTATCACAGTGTGGGAAATGGTTTCTATGGTGGCTAGTAGTTAGAAACAGCCATTATGTTTTGAACTCTGAAAATGACAAAGCTCTACCTCTCTGAAAAAACAACATTTTTCTGCATGTATTTCTGCTTGTTTTTTTTTTAAGTGTGTATGAAATGTCTTACCTGTCCCCAATCCAGCCAGGGTTACAGTGGGAGCACTTGCCCTGAATAGGGTCGCAGTGGTGTCCGTCTTTGCAGGTTGGACACACCTCCTGGCAGTTGTCGCCGAAGAAGCCTTTGGAGCAGAGCTGGTCACACCGTGTCCCGTTCCAGCCTCTGTCGCAGGTAATGCAGCGTCCCTCCGTCACCTTACAGGGCTGCTGGCCCTTGCAGTGCCCACACCTGTGTTCAGCCAAGGAATTCAAAAACAACAGACATCTAATTTGTGTTGTTTTGACAAAAATCGACCACCTCATCAATCTTTGGTGAAACTGTTAAAGAATTTTGATCGTGGAGAAAAGAGTTTGTATTAGTTTTCCTTCAAATGTGTTTCTATTTTTTTTTTTATTAAAAAAGAACATTTAACTTTGTTTCTCTTCAGTTTATAGCAACAGTATCCTGTGAGATCAGCACAGTCCATGGAAGGCGAAACACTTAACCTGAATTGCTTTTACATGCTGGCTGATGATTATGGGATAATGTGAATACCAACTCCCAAATCTCACTTTACTACTGCTCCATTAAGCAACATGTTCAGATCTTTTATGGGTTATCACCAGCAGCATATATCAAATCTTATTTCCTATCAAACCACATAACCGCACCGTAATATAGAGCAGGCAGGGGTGCTGGACATTAGACATCTGTTAAAAAAGGCATGTTTCATGTGTTTAAAATTGTACATTTGCTCTTTGCCAATTTTTCTTCCCCCACCTGTTCCTGCAGTTCTGACCGTAGAACCCTGCAGGACATGGCTCCCTGCAGAACTTCCCACGGTACCCTGGTATGCAGGTACACGAGCCGTCTGCCTGGTTGCAGTTGCCGTGGATACACTGGCAGTATCTTTCACACCGGGGACCCCAAAGTGTCTCTTTACACTGGCAGCGTCCTGTGAACTGGTCGCATGGTGAGTTGTTACAGTTACACTGGATGGCACAGTTCCTCCCTGTCCAGCCAGGATTGCACATGCATCGCCCTGTCATTGCATCGCAGGTGGAGTGGATGCTGCAGTAGCAGTTGTTGTTGCACTGGGGGCCCCAGGCACCAGGATGGCATGAGCATTTGCCCGTCTCTTGGTCACACTTGCCCTTTTGGCACATACAGGCATTCTCACAATTAGGTCCCCAACGGTTGTGGTTGCAGGTACACTGGCCGGTGAAGTCGTTACACTGGCCGTTGGGGTAACAGTTACATTTCCCCTTACAGTCAGGTCCCCAGAACTGTGCAGGGCACTCTGTTAACAGACAGTGTGGAGATCAGAAAAATCTTATTATCCATCTAATACCCTTTAACAAGAAAGTATAAAGCTTCTCTTGGGTTTCTATGGCTGTATTTAGAGATTTTAAATGTTTTGCAGAAACACTGTTTACTTTGGTCATGTTGTTTATCGTTTTAGCTAAAAACATGCTAACAAGCACTAATCATAACATACAGCAAGTTCAAATGGGAATGCAGGTATTGCATAGACAACTTTTTAGCAACTTGGGTTAGATGATTTACTCCTGGTAGAGCTTCTAAACATGAGACAACGATGAAACCATGAAAAGCAGACTGTTGCTACGAGGCACGGCTCTAAACACAGCGGACCCTAGAGGAGTAATTGTAATAATATCTAACTGCAAAAAGAAGTCTGGAAAATGACTGTGTACTATGGGGAAATGAGAAAGAAGATGATAACAGCAGTCACCTTGTTGAGCTGTTCAGTTTAATGTGTGTAATAAAAGCTAGTTTAGCTAATTCTACAAGCCTGAGAGGAAAAAAAGTTGGGACCAATCGTATACAGTAGCTAAAAATGATTGACATAATAACTTACTAGTATCACAGGTAGCTCCGAAGTATCCATGACGACAGCGACATTCATTGGGCCTGACACACACCTCATTCTCCTTGCAGGTGAAGTTGCCTTCACAGAGAGCTGGGATGGACAAGAACAAGCCACATCATTGAACTGTCTGGCACAGTGATCTGCATTACATGAACTGATGAATGTGTTTGGTACATACGTGTCAGGCATTCATCCCCTAGCTGCCCCCATCCACTGCAACACACAAACCCTGACGACCTGGAAAAAGAAGTTATGAGATTCCGAATGAGAGGTGAATTATGGGTAAAATACAGTACAATAAAGCCTGTTTTAAAGCGACAACGTCCACACCCAACTCATGCCTCTGTGATCTTACATTTTTCATTGATGTGGCTAAGATCTGAAAACGTACGCGAGGCACTGTATGTGTTGCATATGCTTTGCACATGGTTGAATACTTATATGAACCAGGACCTTCCCATCTGCATACAGGCCTTAACCGCTTAATAAAAAAATAGAAGCAGGACAGTGAATAATCAGAGATAGTATTTAGCAGCCAAATTTTAAGGCCTGTCAGGAAAAGATGGATGTGTCTCCTCTTCCTCCCACGCCTGTGACCTCTGTGGGGCCCCTGCAACACGTCAGCTTCCCCGAAAGTGTTTGAAGATAGCAGTTTGCTTTCTGTCAATGAGAAGGGATCGGCACTGTTTTTTATCCTGCCAGAATAGGCACGTGGAAGAGATCACAGGTCTAACCTCTGTAATACTTTCACTTTTAATGAACACATTTTTTTTTTTATGTTCTATCTGCCAGATATGAAACTGGAATCAACTTTTTGCAACTGTTCTGCTCCAATTTTTTGATTAACTACAGCAACCATGTACGCAATTGACCTTTGCTGACCTCGCAAAGGCAATACATGTCAGCACTCAAGAAGAGAGATTGCATTCATGTATTGTGGAGGTTTTTCTTTTTATATATGCACTCATGTTTGTCTTTCACTATTGGACAAACAATGTTCCTACCTTTGCCAAAGACGTTTTATTTTTTTTACTAACTCATAAATGCTTTTTCCAACATCAGGAAGCACTGATGATGTATTATGGGTTTAATGTCAAAAAAACAAGTAGCAAGTTCACTGCAATAAATGGTAAACGCTTGTTGGAGGGCCAAAACGTCAAACTTGTGGAAAAGTGGTGCCCAGAACTGAATTTTGCAAATACACTTTCACAGATCACTGTGTTTTCAGTTAAGTTACAACTTATTTCCCAATTAGGTAAAATTAAAATGAAACAAAAGCGCATACAAAACTTTTCAGCTCTTCATTGTTGCAGTGCACTTTGCAGCTGATCTATTTTCAGTTTTGCCCATTGAACGTTTCCTTTCACTTTGTCTTTTATGCTTACTCACACCCACAATTGTAAAGGAGTTCAAGTTATGTAAAAAGAAACAAAATATACTTCTACAAACTTTAAGCACATCATATCGTATAGCATAGTTAAGAATGATCCCTTGACTACATTTGTTGTTTGTTGTCGACCACAATATCCAAGTTCATAGACATGAGTCCAACAAGCTTGGACGCTGCAGTTAGCAATTATGGACTTGGATGTTTTTCTTTTACATGAGTAAACATGCATCCACAGGCTCTGCTATAATCCTAGAGGTCATCAAATGTTGCTCTTCAGACACCTTGACCTCAGAGAGGGGGCTGACTGAATATAAGATGATTTAACTTTACCTTTAGTTGACCTACACTCTTTAGACAGTTTTCAGCTGTCAATCAAACTATAATTCATTTTATAAACTTTTTTCAAAACCTCAAAAACTTTTTTTTTTTTTTAAATGATCAGGCCAGCCCTAGTGTGTTATCAAATAGTGCCACGATTGCTATTAAGGTCAATGAGAGCGCCCCTACAGGGCGATGTAAACACTTCTGTTCCAGATGTACACATCTGTAAAGCTGCTCTCCTCATTGGACTCCTCCTCCTGCTGTACAGCGGATTGGGAACACAAATATGTCGAAAGGAAAGACAGAAAGCGACAATTTAGTCTATTATTTTTATTATTATTATTAAAAGATGCATTTTACTCGTTTATATCAAAGTTATGGAGAATCTCAAAGGGTTCAGTCGATCTCCGTTTTTGTTTCTACTTGTATCGCTTTAATGAACCGTTATGCGAGCACAAGGCCAGCGCAGCTTTTGGGTCTAATATGAAGTTCTAAATATGTTTTGCTGTGTTTTTAAACTTTATTTGTACAGAATAAAATGCAAACTTCTTGAGGTATTTCAAAATGCTTTTTGTATTTAACGCAATTAAAACTCTGACTGGGCAATTTTCACAAAAAGTCGTATCTAGAGACATGCTGAAGAAAGAGGCGAAATATGTCTCAAAGGAAACTTCAGCATCAAAACTGATCTGCATCAATTACAAGCGTATTCAATCATATTTTCATTTGTTCTGATGCTTACCCAAGTGCTCTGCATACATTCCGTCCTTTAGGGTTGAGTTCTTGGCAGGAACTGGAGCAAAAGAAGAGACAAACCACCGCAACAACAGCAAAAGTGTTCTTCAATTCCATTGTACAAGCAGCAGCATCCTTCTAGACGCCGTTTTTACTCCGCATACTCCTCTCAGAAAGTGACGATGATTGCCTTTCACTGGCGTTAAGTACTCCGATATGTTTCACGTTCAATATCCTGGACCATTTATGTTGAAAATATTAAATCCTTGACCTAGAACGGTGATTCTGAAACTCCTGCCACCACCTACGCCATCCAGAAACTCAGTGGCGAAAAAAAGTGACCAGCGACAGCAATCCCACCAGAGAAGCTGAAAAAAGTCATTAAAACAGAACTTGAAAAACACAGTAGGCTATACTAAATAGACACTGTTCTCCTGCTGAGTGTAAATTATTCCATCAAAGTTTCTGAGATCATGTAACGCTGTGTCCAATCTGAAATCAAAACTTTTCCAACATTATATCCTTAGCGCGTCTGGAAACGAGCTATCGTAACAAAAATGTAGGTACATGGCCTGCCTTTAGCCTTTCCTCTCTGAGGACCAGCGCTTAATCCCCAACTTTTGTCCTCTCTCGTGCTCTCAGGAGTGGCAGGAGGGAAATTCCTGATTTGTTACTCTATCTTTGGCTCTGTGCGCCATGCGTGCGCCACCAAATTTACATAGGCCTGCGCGCAACAGGCTCTGTTTCAATGGCCTTGGATACAAAAGAATGTCCCTCGGCTTAATTTTTTAATCCTCACACTAAAAGGTAAAATTAAGCGACAAGGATGAAAAATAATTGATCTCTTGTCTTATTTAGGCTGCAATACCACTATTTTCTTCGCATGATATGCTTATTCAGAGTGTCTTCCAATCATTAAAAAAACGTGAATAAATATATTTTTTAGACAGTTACCTACTCAGAAACACTCATTTGAGGATTTGGGGCTGTTCTGTTTTTTGATTGATGGATGGAGAGAGTGTGTGGGCCTCAGTATGTGGGGGCTTGAGGGGGCAGGAGTGTAATGACTTCATATTAGACAATAGCTCCCCCATCTGTTAACACGGATGAAGTAATTTCGGCACAGGACACCTTGCACTGAGTAAATGGGAGTGCTCTTCCAGCTGAAGCCAAGAGAAAACACACATTTATAGATAAGGCTACATGCATGCATTTTGGGGTGTAAAGTTTCTCACAAGAGCGCGTCTCATTTCAGCAGGTTGTGTGGGCCTTCAGCTGCGTGTGAAGGGCTCCAGGTTAAACACTCATACGTTTTATAATTTACTCTCTGCAAACTGTTATGACATGTTTGTGAGTTACCTCTATGGTTTGCAGATAATGCCAGTATGTAAACAAAGCCCACGGCAAAAACTATCATCATGCAAAAGCCCTCCTACACAGTCAAATGTGTTAAATTACAAACATATTATTTAATAAGGCCTACTCTTTGTTTACATTCTTAGGCCTATCTATATTATAGCCATTGCTGCGCACATTGAACAGCAGGGGAGATAAAAAAAAAAACAAGCTGGGTAGGTTATCTAACGTTCCATGGTTATGTTATTCATGTTCTTTTAATTTAACCCCTTTTTTATTTCATTTTCTAAATGTGTTCACTTTCTTGTTGTAGCCCTGCATTTTCCCTTGACCACATTCTAGGGCTAATGACCCAATATGTTAATTTAATAAAGCATTTTTTTTTTTCAATATGGCTCTAATAACAACAATTTAAAAGGCTTGTTAAAATAAATAAATAATTAAAGGTTTAGTTTAACTTAGTAAAAGTAAAAGTAGGCCTATGACAGTTTTAATACGATTGGAGTGGGGGTTCAAGTTAACATATGCCCTATAGCCTCACTTTAAACCTGTAGTTGTGTCAATTTAAGGAAAGCCAAGCTGAGTCTTTTCCAAAAAAAATCCCTCAATTAATATGACTGTTTGCCTCCTGTATGTTTACAGTGTAGCTGCGCAGAGCACCGACATATGGTCTAACCTCACCTCTCTGCTGGCACCCACCTCCTCTCTGGGCTGATGTTTTTTTGTTGTCATAACCGTGACAGACCTGACACAGAAGGGGGCAGACATTTACTTGAAATGGTCACTCCTCAGCCTAAGACTCCGGTCCACAGGCCCCTCCACACAGGCAACTCAGGTGAAGCAGCAGGACGATATCAGTCCCATTTCCCATAGGATGTAGGATGAACGGGCTAACTGAGTATATACATTTAGTGGGAGCTCTTTTGCATGTGTCTGATTGGTTGCAACTGTCCCTTGTTACTACTGACCCCATTCTACCATACAAAAAGCAAATACCAGTAAAAAAGGTAACCAGACTTTTCATCTATGATTAACATACTATGTAGTGGGCATGTGCTCATTTAATTTTGAACCCTGCCTTAAAGAGTATGCTGCAAATTTAACGGCCTCATGGGGTGTTTTGGGTATAACAAAACCTCAGTCCACCTACATGTCAACCTCCATTGAACTTATCCTGCTCCTCAGACTAATCTGTAACATCCACCTCTTATTTCACAAGCTGCTTTTCCAAGTATGCAAGTGAACTTCTCTGCATGCCATGCTACCTTACCTGAACCTAATGTCAGATCTTAACATGATGTAAATGTTCAGCTAGTTTTAAACTGGATTGGCCACATAGCACAGACAATTTTTTTTTCCAGTGCATTTTGTGATGAATCATGGTAGTCAGTGGCTAAATAGACTCGGCCCTGAAGGTTCATTCTTCACATCACGTCCTCATGTAATCAATGTAATCAATGGAAAGCTTGGCAGAGGTTGTGAAAAACAAGTAGCTACAACAAATGTGAAGTAGTAATCTCATTTTGTATTAGTCTTGATTCTCTGTAGGGTGTGTGGTTCTCTGTCCTGATTTTACTCGAGTTAGCCATATCATTTATAGCTTAAGTGTTAGAGGATAATTTTAATTTCCTTTGCGAATCAATGATCAACTCGTTTATGTTCGTCTTTTTCTGACAGAGAAATCTGCTGTCCAAAACTAAGGCAAGACACAACCTGGATTTTTCAGTGAAATTACGATCATTAAACCGGACTCACTGATATTAGGCCTAACTTGGAAGTATTAATCATAAATAACAAGCACATTATATGCCTGTCAAAAATCTAAAATGTAATTTGATTATGAGGACTTGTCTCTCTCTGCTCAGATAACAGATCTAGGGCAGAAGATCCTTGGCCAGAGAGCTCTCGACAAGATGATGAAGACGACATTTTATGGCCACTTTGTAGCTGGTGACCACATGGCCATCTGACCGCTGATCCAGAAGAATCAAGCCTTTGGCGTTGGCTCTGTCAGAAAATACACTGTGGAGGAATACACCAGCGAGATGGAGGACATGCAAAAAGAGAAGTAGTAAAAATAATGGAGTATTACCATTGATTTCAGATGTTTTCGATTCAACGTTGTTAGTATTTTATTCATGATTTGTTTGTCAGATTTTGAGCTTGATGTAAGATCATTTGTTGTATTAAAATAAGAATTGGCAAGCTTTGCCAAGATCACTCATTCTAGATTTCCTCAGGCTTTCTTTCCCTCCAGGCAGCGGAAGCAACAATACTACTTAAATCAAATGTGAGGAATATTTAATTTAGTGTCGATTTTGGTCACCCCTGAGGACTGAGCAGCTAAGTCTTTTCAATTTGCTGTTCCTGTCCTGTACGTGTGTGTTAAATTATCCAACTGAAATCTCATCCTGCTACCTTTTAACTGTCTAACATTCCAATCGCTGAGAGAAATGTACCAAGTAAAATGGTTACAAATAGCCTTTCACATGTGCAAATTTTGATATTTCCTTTATACCCTATGTTTGAGGTGGGTTGCATGTGAGATTTGTGAGACAGCTAGATTTATCACTACAACTTTATTCAGACTTAATCTGCCATCCGATTATTTCTTCAAGAGGTCAGGGTTAGCCGTTGAACACGGCAGGTAATACTGCTGCGAGACCGGTTCCATCTTTGTGCGCACGATGAAGCTGCTTCATGCTCCTTTCTTCTTGCCAACAACGACACATAGCATTTATTTAAAGCCAACCACAGTCATGACAGTATTTTATTCTGTTGATCATACGCCATCTTTGATATGTTGTAATTAACTTGGACTTCCGTAGCATTCCACCCCCAACCCTAACCCCCACGGTGGAAAAGTTGCGGACATGTGTGAAAGAGCAAGAGTCATTTGGGTCATAATGCTATTAAACACTTTGCTGGAATGTAGTGGTAGCAGTCATTTAAATAACTATATAGAAACACTCTTTAGTCTAGATGATGTTGAGGTTTGCTTTCATGTGACATATAGTGGCATCAGGATTAAAGCTAGTCCGTTTCATAACTTGTTTCAAACCCCTCGCTGTATGTTTCACTGGACATCTGTACAAACCTAATGTAAGCAGCCTCTCTCTGGGCAAAGGCAGAAGCGATATAACTTCAGTGGTGGAAATGGGCATTCATGCAGTATGAGTTAATTAGGGACATCTCACAGCCCTAAATCAAAATGGAACTATTTGGCTCATTAAGAAATAGCTTCCCAGTCAAATCAGTGAATACTGATGCTGAAGTGAATATAACTCAGTGGCTTTTTTACTGCAGTGAAAAAGTCAAATGTACTTGTCAGGTATACTTAGCATGAAGATAGACTGACAGTCACTTTGAATGTGTAAAGTTCAGATGTAGTGGGTAGACAAGACTGTTAGGAAGCACGTTTCAGTATTTAAGTGTTACAGTCTGATGATAAACCTATAGCTGATTGCAATGTTTGCTTCACAGCTATCATAAATATTGTTGTGGGGATGGCTTCTTGGAAACATCAAAAGGTTGTATCAAACCTCATACTAAAAAAAGTTGTTTGTCTGTTTGGCGAACACACACACCTTCACACCGTAAAGCAAGAGGACAAGGCACATTAAGCCAGCTTGATCTCAGGCAGTAGGGTCTGACAGGCACTCCTGTGATCTGTCAATATATCAACAACAGCATTGCTCAGTTCTCTGAAACAGAAAGAAGATGTAAGGGATGTAAGAGGCAAAACCTGGCTCGGTGTGTTGGGAGCATGATAATAGAAATGCAACGCTTCAGTCGAATAAAGTCAATGTAAATTAAATATACATAACCCTAATTTTATTTTAAATGCTGTTTTTTAGAGGGCCTGTTCTGACATTTTGTAAAAGGGTTCCAAATAAGAATAATTTATGCCAGCTGCCACAATCTATCAGAATGTGTTTGTGTGCCAAAAGATAACTAATAATCAGTGCTTTCAGCACAATTTGAATTTTTGGCAGGACAACATAGAACGCATCTGAATATAAATCATAAAAAAGGCTAAACCTCATCTGGACTCAGACCAACACTTACTAAAGTAATTCAATGCTGAATTACTTTAGATGAATATCATTATTACATTTGAATGTAACTTCCGTTTAGTCTTGGTGTCTTAGTTGTGGTGTGACGTTACAACTGCCCTCGCTGGAGATTCAGCAGGCTGACAACAGGACAGTTCAGCTTATATTGTGTAGACATAATGCCAGCTTCTGGCATGCCACTGCCACAGGTCCATCATGTTTTCTTTTGGCTTTTTGTGCCTTTA